AAATTATCTTTATTTGCAGATGACATGATACTTTACTTGGAAGACCCAAAAAACTCCACCAAGAAGCTACTAGAATTAATACAGAAATTCAGTAGCATAACAGGTTACAATGTCAATACCCAAAAGTCAGTAGCATTCCTCTACACAGATAACAAACATACCAAAAGGGAAACTATAGAAATAATACCTTTTATAAGAGCAGCAAGGAAAATGAAATACCTTGGAATTCATCTAACTAAAGAAGTCAGAGATGTTTTCTAGGAAAATTACAGTACTTTCAAAAAAGAGATCATAGAGGATTTCAGAAAATGGAAGGAAATTCCATGCTCCTGGATAGGAAGAACCACCATCGTGAAGATGGCCATACTCTCAAAATTGCTGTACAGATTTAATGCAATCCCTATCAAACTACTACAAACATACCTCACAGACACAGAGAAAGCATTCCTAAAATTTATTTGGAACCAGAAAAGACCAAGAATAGCAAAAGCAATCCTGGAAAACAAAGAGAATGCAGGAGGTATTACAATTCCTGCCTTGAAATTATTCTACAAAGCTACTCTGATAATATCAACATGGTATTCGCAATGAAATACACCTGAAAATCAATGGAATAGATTAGAAGATGCAGAGACCTCTATGAACACTTTCAGCCACCTTATCTTTGACAAAGTGGTGAAACATACTCACAGGAAGAAAGATAGCCTCTTTAACAAATGGTGCGGAAAAACTGGCTCTCTACATGCCAAAAGCTAAAACTTGACCCAGGTCTATCACCATGCACTAAATTAAAGTCAAAATGGATTAAGGATCTAAATGTTAAAACAGAAACGCTAAATCTCCTGGAAAACACAGTAGGAGGTGCTCTTGCAGACATAGGGGTAGGCAAAGAATCCATGAAAAAAATCAAATCACACAGGAAACACTTGAAAACATTAACAACTGGGACCTGCTGTTATTGAGAAGTTTTTGCAGTAAGAAAAAATTACCGGGGCGCCGTGGGCCCCCCGACCCACCCGGCCTCGGCGCGGCGGGAAACCGGCCCCGCGACTTCCTCGCGCCCGCCCCGGAACGCCGGCTCGTGGGCGGGGCGCTTCTGGCGCGGCGAATGTAAACGTCTGAAGAGCGCGCCTTCAAGCCAAAGAAGACAGCTGCAAGCCAGGGCTCATCTGAAGTTGACTGGCTCCGGGACAGTTAGAGGTCGCTGCTCAAGCATAAGTTTTCTTAGGACCACTACCGAGATGTTTGATGTCAAGGCTTGGGTGGAATATGTAGTGGAATGGGCTACAAAGGACCCATATGGTTTCCTTACAACCCTTATTTTGGCTCTTACTCCACTGTTCCTAGCAAGTGCGGTCTTGTCCTGGAAATTGGCCAAGATGATTGAAGCCCGGGAGAAGGAACAAAAGAAGAAACAAAAACATCAAGAAAGTATTGCAAAAACTAAACGACTGAAAAGAGAGTGAAGGGATGAGCAGGCTCTGCAAGCAAAAAAGAAAACAAGTCATTTGGGAAATTACACAGCTTTGGAAGGACCCCATACGGTTCCTTTGGACTTTATGGAAGTTATTACTGTCCATGTAGAAGAATCATTCTGGAATCTGACCTTGATACTCTAGTAACTTTTAGGCCTGGGCATCGATGTTTGTTGGTGACCACTGGCAGTTAGTATACAGTTGTAATGATTATACTGGTGGAGCATCACTGATGCCAAACCCAGAATACTCTGGAATCCCAA